ATATTATCTAAAAAAACCGGAAGTTTTGTTTGTGTGAGATTTGAATAGGCACATCCTGGTAGAGGATTTCGCATCTTCTATCTCTATCTAAAATCTCGGATTCTGAATGCAAAGATTTTTACCACGCAGCGTCATCACTCATGGAACGTGGTTGTACTCGAATCGCAACGAGTTCACTGGGTTTCCAGACGCGTTCGCTCACAAGTCGAGCGTGGCAAAATGCCGCGGCTCCACTTCGACGAGCTTTCGTTCGAAACGGAAATGGTAGGCTGCAATTATTGCAGTCGTTGGCTTGACTTTCCCGTCTGCTGCGGCCGTGCGCACCAGCCGCGAATGCGTAACCGCCGCCGGTCGATTAACTACGACCTTCGCCGCAACGTTGATGCAAATAGACGACATATCCGCAACGTGCACGCCTTGGATTTCCATACGACAATTTTGCGACGTCTTCGCTTTCCTTCCCCTCAGCTAAAGGTGGATGGTGAGTTCTTTGCTTGAAGATAATAATTTCTTGAAAATTCTTCTTTGCGGAAACGTGTAATCAAAATGAAAGATTTCAAGAGTGGAGACCGAATATTATATTGAATTAAGTGTCTTTTGACATTTTTAAGAAGATCGGCGAAACAAGGCGAGAAAAGAGGCACGATTGGAGGCTTGAAATGAAATTATTGCTCTAACTCACGAACATGAAATTCATCTTGCTGGAGAAGACGAATGAAAGTTGGATACAACGATGACGTTTGTAGAGCTGCATGTTGCTCCGCTTGCATCATCGCGCAATTGCGCGATCTCGGCGCGAATTTTAGCGCGTAGCACAGGCTAATTATTATCCCATAATTGAACGATATTAATTATCGCGCACTTTCGCTGGGTAATTTTTATAATCGCCCGTAATAGACGTAATTCATCATTGTCATCTCGAAGAGATAATTGGATCTGCCGCGAGACATGCAATAATTGGTTTCCTCCAAAAATTTTCTGGAGAAAGAGCTACGCCAGTAAAGCGTTCAACCTTTGAAACATTAGTATTTTTTATTTTTATTACAGTATTATACACATTCTATTATCATTTTATGCAAATATGTAAAACAAAAGGAACTCATTTATTATTCGACCACTAAAATTTTGATGCATGAGGCAAAGCGGAGCGGCCGTTAATAAGCAAAGCAATTTTCGAGGAATAGCGATGCGACGATACGGGTTTCGCAACAGGATCTCAAGCTCGAATCGATCCCGAGTGCAGATACCGCGGGCGATGCGCGCTCGGATCGTCGGACGCGTGTTGCTTATGCCGAGAAAAATTGGCGAAACGCCGTCTGGACGCCACGAGACGCCGAGAACAAACAAAGGGATGCTCGTCCGTCCGTTCTCTCTCGCAAACGAGTTCCGCGGCCAATTATAAATTACCTCGAATTAAATCGATGGTCATCACCACCGCCATTGCTGTCGCTGCGGCGGACCTTGACGAAAACTCTCCACTTTTTACGATCACATATGCGTAAAGTCTTTTACGGCGATGCGCGTAATTGCAACGTGGCGAAGGGAGTGATAAACAACGCTCGAGGATGTATTACAAGACAGTAAGGGCGGATTGGTTTCCTCCCTCTCGGTTTTCACTCGCTCGCGCGCACGCGTTGGGTACTATTTATCGGCATGTTTAATTGCTGCCCGAGAATGAAACTCTCAACCTCGAAACACGGGCCCCGCGCACTTTTTGTCGTGCTTTTTCTGACGCATCGAAATTGCTCTGCATATCTTTAGTGTCTATTCCACACACAGTGCTAGTAATGAATCATCCAAAATTTTCATACAATTTTTAAATAAAAATATCAAGAGTTGTATTATTAATAAGGAATGTATTATTTTTTTCTTTAAATGGAGAAAATATTTTTTTGTTTTATTAGAGAGAAAGAAAATGTTTAAAAAACACCTGAATATTACATATTATCATCTAGCTGCTATTGCAACTTAGAGATACATATAAGATTTTCAATAAATTTATTTAATCTCAAGAGAAAATATTAAGAGAGAATATATTAATATAAATAAAATAAAATAAGAAAATATATTAATATAAATTTGATAATTTCTAATTATATATTTTTCATCCGGAATTTCTCAATATTTTTGAAGCATTGTCGGCTCTGGCTTCTTTCAAAGCCCGCGCACGGTCAGAGAATTACGAGAACCTTCAGACTGATTATTAAATCCCGAAGATTTAAGGTAGTGATTTAAATACTTGGGTAGTAAACGAAATTTACGTTCTGTAATGAAAAAGCGGGTCGATATTGTCGTTTCCACCGTTTAATGCTCGCCTACGCGGCCCGTTAGATCCTGAGGACGTTAACCCACTAACTGAGAGATTATTTTTTTATCTGCGCAGTTGTGGAATCACTTGTGCTCGTAACCGCGACCGTGATTATCATATTTTGTGGTTTCAGATGTGGTGTTGTTTTCAACCTCGAAATTTATGGCCCATTTTACGTCTGCATGACATTGAGCATTTTACAGAAAATTAACATTTAACATTTGAAATAATATTCGATTTATGCGCGCGTTGCAACTCGCGTAAAATATAGCAAATAAATAAAAAATCCAACAAAGGAATATGAATTTCGTGATTGCTCCGATATAAAAAATTTTTATAGCTATGATAATAATTAGTATCATATGTATCATGTTAGTCAATTATTAAAAATTACTGACTTGCACAACTTACATTGAGCAATATTCTATGTAATATTAAAAAACAAATGCATATGTATGTATATGCATACAATACTTATTTTTTAAAATTATATTTAAAACATTATATATAAAAATAATTTTAAAATATATATATTTGAAATAAATATATTCATTCTCGTATATGCATACAATATATTTATTTTTTTAAATTATATTTAGTACATTATATATGAAAATAGTTTTAAAATATATATATTTGAAATAAATATATTCATTTGAATATTCATGACGCAGATTTTTTCTTGTCTTCAAAAATGATTTCTCTCTCTTTTTTTCGAGCATTATGGATTCAACACGAGAGAAAGGAATAATTTAATGAGCATAATAAATTACAAATGCAAATGATCGCGAGCTTAATGTCGATACACTGTTTTCTGAACCGGTATGCGCACAGTGCGATGCATCGCGAGGGAATCGGCGGGCGATGGGGATCCGCCGCATTCTACATCGCCAATTTGCATGACCGATGATCGGGCCGCTACTATACGCCAGTGACTAGGTGCATCATCATTACGCACTACCGAGATACGATCAAACTGTCGGTAATAACAGTCGCACGACCCCGCGCGCGTACACGAGAGAGCAGGGTCGCGTTTATTAAATTACGTCAAATTATTGGTACGCGTCGTGGTATCCGGCCGAGGCCTCAACATAGAATAGCCACGGCCTCGCCGGTTGTTTAACAGCAAGCAATCACGCTACTTTCCCAATTAGGCCGCTAATTTTAACGGGGAGCGTGTAATTGCCGCGCGGAGCCGAATTCTCTTGTAGCGCACTTTCCCAGAACCGCTTAATCGTAGGTCAATGGCTAATGCACATGGGCGATATGGAATTAAGTTATCTCACTATGGTATTTCAATTACGAAGATTGATACGCCGCGATTGATTACGCTGCGGGACTGAACGAAGACAATCCCACCCTGCCCTTATCGAGCAATCGATTAAATTTTAATTGGTACAAGCAGGACCGCTTGTCGAAGTTAATTCGAAATATCACACAAAGATGCGACTAAGCGGAATGGACGTACTAAAAACGACTCACTAAGCAGAAGAATATAAAGTCGATGAGATCGATGCGAACAGTATTCGTTCCGACTCTGGAGTTAAAACACATATATTCTTCAAAATATAGGAAAAAAGGAGATCGAATATTCGGTAATCTGCATATGAAGATATATAGCGATGTCATATAACACATGAGACAAGAAACTAAACGAAAATGATTCTATTTGATCTTTATTAGGCATCGATCGAATTTTAATCGATTCCAGTCGAACCACTTCTTGAGGCAAACTCGAAATATCATACGCAGACAATTTGTGAGATGAAATATATTTGCGTGCGTGTGTACGAGCCTAAGCATTGTTAAAGGAATAATTATTATCCGCAAAAATTGCAATGAAACAATAATTTATAATTATTATCTTTGTCGCGCGCTTTAAGATAAAATATGATGCATTATATAGCAAAAAATATATATTTTTCTTTAGTTTAAATAATAAATATAATCTTAGTTTTTCATTAAAAGAATGTAATATTGAATCGTCCACATCTTAAAGTATAAAATTCCACTTTGAATATTTCACTCGTTTTATGCTTTTGAGACAAGAGACATGCAAGTAAAAACTATATAAATATGAATCTAAGTTATCGCCGAAGCGCGACACTTTGAATTAACGATTAAAAAATACCAGAGTATAATTTCTATTTATTCATCAGGTAACATAACGCGCATATATCGCGTTTCATTACTGCTAGCGCGATAGTTGTTCATCAGCGATCAAGATGAAAAGGAGAATAAAATCTGTGAAGTTTCATGTTTCTCTACGCATACAATGCGGATTCATATGCGCCACAAAATATATCTTATACCTAAATGCCTAAATGTATTTAAAAGTAAAATGTATTAAAAAGTTTTTTCTAATTAACATAAAAAATTATTTTATTATTTGATAAAATTTGAAAAATTTTTAAATTATAAGCTGCTATCTGCTTTTGTCAAAAGATATTTTATGGATTAGTTAAATTAATTGATGGTAATATCGTTACATGACATGTTTAGAAAAAGAGTTAACTATAAGTCCATAAAATTTATATACTATTTTATATTTAAAATTAATTTTTTACTAATTACGAACTTAGTTTTCTGTTATTCTGAATATTTCACATCAGTATCTTTATTAAATATATTAATTATAATAATTATGTTTTAAATAGTTGTAATATATATGTTACTTTATCTCTGCTTGCAGATTCGACTGACGAAGGGCTGAAGAAGGCAAAGAGCCGTAGAAATTTTTGACGTCGTTTAATTAATCAAAATTTGCAACAAGAATTCAAGGAGGAAGGAAGATAGAAGAACGGGAAATATTTCGCCATTCTTTCAGCGTTAATTAAATCGCAGCCGCGAAAGCCATTCAAACTCGTCGTCCAACACGTATATATACATATCCATGCTCTATATGCATTCACACATACTCAACATACACGTACATACACGACACATAAAGGACCCAAAAGCCTGATTAACACCGCGTACTTCCTGTGATCGTCGATTAACGATAAGCGGAATAATCAAAAATAGCGACGCAGCGAAAGGAGAGATATGTTCAGGTCACGTACGAGCAGAAACGTGAATTACCGTAATGCTCTCGTAAGAAAAAAGACGCCGTCTTTCAAAGAGTATCGAGATCGGTAGATGCAACGAGTAATGTAAATATGTTACGAGATTCCAAATACTTGATCTATTCTGGTATGTATGTATATATATAAATTATTTCTATATAAAAACGATTCATTCTTAATTTTTTTTAATGAAAAATAATTACGTACTTCTGTTAGAAAATGGATTTGAGAAAATATATTATTGTTTTATGTGTTATTTGTTTTGTTTTCGTCGTTACACATCAAAAAAAGATCTCTTTAAATTTCGAAAGAAAAAGATAAAAAAGCAACAAAATATCTATATTCATAATTTTAATTTTCTTAACGATATAAACTTCTCCATCAATCCAGTCAAATTAGGTAAAAGAAATTTATATTTTGAATAAAATAAATTTCAAGCTAAAATAAAAATAAATTTGAATTTATTGAAATTTAAATCTATTATTGAAACTTATCGGGATCTTAAATTTTCTTTGTTGATAAATTACAGTCTTTGATAACACGTGCAATAATATTATAATATTGATAGTACCATTGTATGTTTTCAATCTTTAAGTTATGTACATGTGCAATGTACACATGTAAGATAAAGAAAGTCTAATTTATCACCGAGCCATACTCTCGTTACTCTTTGCTATCGATTGAAAATGGGAATCGGAAAGTCGCGAAGAGAGGTGGTCGAATCTACATGCTGTAATGTGCGTTTTCCGGAGAGTTAAACGCGTGTATGCGTATCATGACAATCATCACCTCCGTACGCAAGTAGTAGATTCTTTTTATAAAGAGACGCGCCGTCAGAGAGCAGACGCGATCTAACGGACCGCGTAGTTAAGGATACGAATGCCATAATAATGACCAAGTTTTGTGGTTGTACTTAAGTCATACTTTATACTCTACTTTATTATTAGAATGTTCTAAGCGTAAGTTACTTTTATATTCCATTTTAGCGAAGTGTCTATCTACAATTATTATTCTTTTTTTTTTCTATACCCTTTTGCATCGTCGAGCTAGATGTCGAATCGACTCTGTTTTGCGCTGGTCGTCAATTGGCGCAAGCTATGAAAACTTTGCAATACTGCCTTACCTGCACTTGTGATCGTATACCTAACTTGAATTTAAGCTGAATGCTCATAATTTGTACACTCCGACATTTCAATATATTACAGTATACATAACTTATAGAGAAATAAATTTTATCGCAATTTTATGTTGTCTTTAAACACAGTTAAAATAAAAATTTACTTAACGGAAAAAGTAATAAAATATTGATAAATTAAATTGGATGATAAGATATTATTTTTTTATTTGTTTCTATGATATGTAGATTAAAACAAAAACCAAGATTATGTTTTTTTGTAACATTGTTCGAAGATAATTAATAAAAAAGTCTGAAAAAATATATATTTTCTACAATCTCTGAGCGTTCAGTTTTCCGTTTTACACGTCAGAGAAATTGTCGGTTTTATTATTTTTGAGAGTTCCGATTTTTTAATAATATATCACTATATACTAGTAATTTTTCAGACATTGACGAAATCTTAGCCGTGATAAAATTATATATTGCACTTACTTTTATTCCAGTGTTAGAAAAGCCATCAATATCCTATGCGATCGTATGGATGAAAATAAGTAAACCCATTTTAAAAATCAGGTGCGAGACCGCCTTTTGGTTGATGGTCCCGACCAAAGGACATGCTTGGACCTTGGTCTCATTTTTTGTGATTATTATTTAAATATACATTAAGCAAACAATAGAATAGGTTAGCTTTGTTATATAATTGAATATGAGAATAGCACTGATTGCACTGGGTGGCCTTACCCAGACGATATCATTTTTTTTCTTCAGTAGTATGGAAACTGTCCGAATGAAATGCAGTAATTATGAAAATAATCTAAAAAAAGAGATATTATAATTATGTTCATATATATATAATATATTGAATCATTTATCCAAAAAAATCGGCGGATATTCTTCAGTTATTAGTAAGACTAAAACTGTTGGAAAGAGAAAACAGTCGAAAACAAGTGGCCTTCTTTAAAGAAAGAATTACAAGCTGAATGAGAAAAATCAGAATGCGTTCGCGTTACAATGAACTAGCTGTATTACGAGTGTACAATAAGCTTTTAGATTTATCATACAAAGTATAGATTCTATATTATCATGAATATTATATCGCGTAATGAATTTTTGTATAGAAGGCACACGGTCCCCTTTACGACAGAACTCTGTGTGTTATAAGCGTGCGGATGCACGCTTATTTCGTACGTTGATGTTCTCGGAGAGTGTAATTTTGCCATGATGACGAGCGCCGGAAGAAGAACTTTTAGCGCAGAGCTTGTAAGAAGTGACGTTATGCATTTGCGTGTGAAACTAGAATTAATTTTCTAATTCCTTGGGGCATTGAATGTCAATGGATCTCCGTGTGAGCGACCGCCTTGGAATAACGCGAACTCTGATCGTGTTTTAGCCGCTCCTTCATTACGCAAAATGCAGAAGGTGCGACTAAAACGAATGGATTTATGCGAGATAATTGCACGATCAGTTTATCGATATCACTTCTCAACATCGTCAGCCACGTTCTCGCGGCGAAATACTCAGCGCGTAAGGGTCGAGGATCGTTGTGCCTTCGTGTATGCACGTTAAAGTACGTTTATAATGATTGTAAGAAGAGCAGACATCCACACTTTGTGATTCCGTAAACAGTTGTTCATTTTTTTTATACTTTCTTTAATGCTTACCTAGGATAGCTTGTATACCCTAAAGAGTGTTTCAATAAAAATCACAGTGAAATAATTTGCTGCATTCTGCTTGCGTTTCTTCGATGCATTTACCTATCCTCTCACGAAAAAAAATAAAAATTCTTCTCCATTACGTTGTTTCTTTTATATCATATTAATTTTTCGTTAAATTATTATATTTATATAATAATTTCGTTAAATCATTATATTTATATAACTTAAATACGTATTCTTAACATATATTTTTTATTAGCCATATAAATTCTTCCGTTTGGAATAGAAAAATAAATATTTTACAAGAAAATTTGAAAGAAAGACTCGAAATATAAATTTTTTAATATAATTATCAATAATATAGTAAATGAAAAATCGCAGATCATCTGTTGAAAATATACTGTCGCATAAAAACCGCTCGGATCGAAATCCAATTTACTTTATTCGTATATATCACAGGTAGGGTTTTATACAAGGGGGACGAAACAGCGGATAACATGATTTATTACTTTTTTGTATTCAAGGTTCTCGAATTAATGTTACAAGCAATAATATAATTAAAGATAATGAATGAAAAGCGATGAAACTAAAGTCAAATGTTACACCTCTTTCGTCATTGGTCGCATTATCTCATCTTCGAATGATTGATTTTTTTCGCAGTTATCATCTTTTATTCTTTTCTTTTTTCTTTTTTTTTTAATAATTTGTACTTCTCTTGGTGCAATCTCTTGGCTCTCTAATTTCCAAGGAACCAGTCGATTGCTTTCCAACGTCGACAGATTTGCGAGGTTTATTATACTTTATCGTATAACGATAATGATATTCAGAAACGATGCCGCTTGATTCACAAATATGAAAAGGAAAATCTCGTTGTCCGCGGGAGATCATGTTTATTAAACTTTGAATCAATGTAGTTTTACATGTCTGTAATTGAATCGAATAAATGCTGTGGTAGACATTTGTCTCAAGTTATAAAAATGTTATTTGTCCAACATACTAATTAACTAAAGTTCTTTTAATAGGGAAAAAAATGGAAAAGAAGGAATATTAATCATAAACGTCGATCTCCCACTTTCGTTGACAATTATGCGAATTACAAAATATTTATTAAATAAACGTAACAACAGAAACGCATAAATCAGGCCGCATCGTTGCGATAACGACGGCAAGCATTGCTTGCCTTCGCTCTGTACTTAATAAAATCTTGTTGATTAAAATAACGAAACACTAGTCATAATAACTTCTCTAATTAACGATTATTTGGTAATATACAAAATAGTAGAAAAGAGGGAAAAGCAAGTCCGTTTCCTATCTCGTAGATTTTTTTTTTCTTTTTAAATACAAAAACGTAACGCGTAGTATCTAAAGTATTGTATGTGTTCCAAGACATCAGAGATGTTCTGATCGCGCGGAAAAGTCTTTTAGATTGAACTTAATTATCTGTAAATCAATTGTAGACAATTTTCAGCAATTTAGTGAGTATTTCCAGTAGTCAAGAATGAGAAATGAGCGAAATATGTTAGCTTCGCTGTGAGAATAAAATACATTGTTGAAATTTTTATCGACTGCATAGTGTCTTAAGAACGACACGCTTTCCTGAAAATTTGGAACAAGAAAATGAAATCATCGCAAATTACCTCGGAAACTTGTCCGCGCGATTGCGTTGCCGCCGCGTCGTGGGACTCATTTTTTTTTAATCGTATATGCGTATCGCTGTAATATTCTTTCTTCTTTATGTAATGTATTGTTATAATGTTCGTGTAACAATAAAAAGCAATATGCAAATGGTATTGAAGACTTCTCGTTCGGAGGTGGCTGCTTGTGTTAGCGCGTTCCGTGCATTCGCGCAGAGGAATTCTATTAACTCTAAGACACTTCGCTCTTTTACATATCTCTATCTAACGCATTTTCACACTCTCCCATTTTCTTTCTCTCTCTCGTGTTCACTCACTCGCTCTCTTTTGCCCGACTAAAGTAATCTCGCTATCAACAATGCTATTAATGCGCCGCAACATCTCAAATTCTGGAGACTCAAAACTGCATTTTCTAATTTCAATTTAGAATCGGTTTTTGCTTATGATCAATCAAAGGGCACAAACCTCAATATCTTTTTTTTCAGTTATAGAATTAATTAATTATTTTTTTCTATAATAATTTCTCAAATGATTGCCGAATAGATTGCTTTTTAATTATAATTGCTATCACTTTTATTGTATATATATGTATTGTATTGCGACGCATTTGCATAATAAGCAGTTCACAGACATACGAGATTCTTTGATGGTCTGCAAAAGTAACAAAGTCGTGTTTCTGCTCTAATCTCTCAAACATTTGAGAGATCACATTGATTTCGAGGCAAAGTAATCGGCACGTTTTCGCGCA